CAGCCAATCAAGAGGGTTGCAGCATATGAGATGTTACGTATCAAAATCAGCATTCAGCCAATATGCTGTGTTCTAAAAGCGCTTTAATGTTCAAACCCTGTACCACGGCCGCTTCTGAGAAGTGCGAGTTGATGTGGCAATGTTTTGTTTGTCGAGGTGAGCTGTCTACAAGATTTCATTGTTAATATTTGAACGTTGATTGAGGATGTAAAAGAGTTACCTGCTTTGACGAGTCCTTTACATGGCTAAAATTAGCGACATTTAAGCTATTCGCTTGCCAGAGACTAAGGCGTATAATGGATGAAGATTACTGATTAAACAGCTCAACAAGGGTTCATGCTTTTCAACATAGAAGAGAGAACAATGCATGTAAATTAAAAAACGAATAAATATAGAAGTAAAAATAGAAGAAATAACAAGGTAATGTGAATAACTATTTACGAAATTGCCATAGCTGACAGCTAACTGATAGCGGCCACAATAAATATCAAACAACCAAACATCCATTTTGTTTAGATCTTTGTGAGTGTTCCGGAAGTGTTAACTCAACTGAAATCAAGCAAGGTGCTTATAAATCCTGTAATCGTCAAGTTTTGTGTAAATATAACCCATGGAGACTCAGTTGCATCCTTGTATTATCCGCGTACTTTTATAAAATCTTATCAGTTGGGAAATAAGATGATTGAGCTGCATTCTGGGGATACTACAGCAGCTGAACTAATAATTTCAAATTAATTATATATTATATACGGATAACACATTATTTAAAAATGAGAAAGAAAATAAAAGCATTGGTCAATTTAATAGGACGGCCTTACTGTTTACTGTGGGCAGATGTGCAAAATGCCGTTTGTGGTTTTTAAGATTATGAGCTGATCTGTAGACAGTGACGAATGTCTGCATGCCAGGTCGAAGTTAGCGAGAGTTTATTTTGCCATAATGGACGGCACTGGTACAAGGAAGAAATACCAACTTTTTATAAGACAATTTTGGCCGTAGTCTTGGCAAGATAGAGGATCATTTGACCTAAAGAATAACCCGGAAACAAGTATTCATGCACGCACATCACTTATATGGAGGGTAAAAACGAAACTGGCATCATAAGTTTTAAAAATCATGGCGTTCACGCTTGTATATGTTAAAAAATTACTATTATTAAGTTTCTAATAAGGTTTTTTTATCCTCCCATTTATTGAGAGAACGAGTACCTTCTGTCCAGTGTATGTATTTTTCACAGATTTTACGGAATGAACAAAAGTCAGATCAAAAGTGGAAAAGTAATTTTGTTCACTGCACGATGTCCAGCGGAAGAACATTTTTGAGGTTGTCAAACTGAACATAAGCGAAGGGTGCTTGGGGCATAAAACGAGGAGAAAAATTATCATGAAGAAAAATAAAGTTAGGAGTAAGGTCACTTGACCCGGTGTGAAAAATGTCATTTTTCTTGCAGAGAGAGGAGATTCACAATGCGTTGTGTAAATTTAAAAAATGATTTTCACGTCAGTTTTTCAGGGGTATTCATATAAGTAACAAAATATATTCCCGCGTCGGTGACATTTTATGTTTAGCAAGTGCTTCGATCTGCGTCTATTAAATCATTGGATTTTGATGCTGACTATTCTTAAATCCAGCATCTTATCCACGGAAAAACGAGCGGTTACCAAAGCACAATAGGAAATGAACACATTGGGCATTACGTTCAGCCGGTGGTTACGGTAACTTTGGAGGATTGTCATGCGTCCCAAACTGTCTGCTAACTGCTCATGAAAGGATGATGAAAACTAATGGATTTTTTCCATCTCTGAAGCAAATATGTCTGACAGGAGGTGCAAAATTTCACCAAATGAAGTTCTTCTGAAGTAGATGGAGTAATATACTTGAACAGTTTTAAACTGAATCGAAAGTTTAGTATAATGGCATAAGACACTATCCTTTAATTTTGTTTTAGAGTAGTGTGAACTCATTAGAGGATGTCACCTGATTCATACACAACAACCAAACTCAGGTATTTTTTGCATTTGTAGACGTGTGGCAAAGCGTTCCGTCAAGCTAGTACTCTGTGCAGGCACAAGATCATCCATACGCACGAAAAGCCGCACAAATGCCAAACTTGTGGCAAAGCTTTCAACCGCAGCTCAACGTTGAACACTCATATCCGGATACACCTCGGTAAGAGGGACGCCAGTGACATCAGCGTCGTCAGTGAACGGTTTGCATTTTCAGGCTTCAAGCCATTCGTGTGTGAGTTCTGCGGCAAGGGCTTTCACCAGAAGGGCAACTACAAGAACCACAAGTTGACGCACAGCTGCGAGAAGGCATACAAGTGTCACATCTGTCAGAAGGCCTTTCATCAGATTTACAACCTGACGTTCCACATGCACACGCACCAGGACCGAAAGCCGTTCACGTGCCAGCTGTGTGGTAAAGGTTTCTGTCGGAACTTTGACCTGAAGAAGCACCTGCGCAAGCTGCATGAGAAATGTGTCCCCGTCAGTGA